TTCAGGTGAAAGGAAATAGATTTGAAAGCGAGTTCAGTGCAAGTTGGATAGGAATATGGTGACTGTTGTGTAGAAAATCATCAGTTTTAAGGGAGAAAACACAAGGAGAGAGGTTTTCAGAATTCCATAGGCAATCCACTGAATTCCTAATAGGAAGGGATTAAGATAACATCACCAAAAAATTATACCTACTAAAGATTTTGAAAAATCCCATTCGATTGGGAGGTACTCAGGGTATAAGCATTTAATAATATGAGAACAGAACAGTGAATGACATTTACGAATCACTGAGTTTATGAGGCTATATTTCAATGTCCCAGATCCACAGCTGCTTTTTAGGAGAGATGTATGTATGCAGTCCTGGTAAAATAAAAATAATAATGCTGACACAGTAATCTTTGTTCATCAATGTTGCTATAACATTATGGTTTATAGTAATGTTTTCTATTATGGATAGTTAATTACAATGCTGTAATGATTAAAGTAATCTTTCTCAGATAAGTCTTTGAAACAGGAATTGAAAATACTTCGTGGAAATAGAACTATGAAATTACACACAGCGTGATAGTTTTTGTATTAGTAATCTGTCTAATTTTAGTTTCCGAGCCTTCAGGCAGAGAAGCAATCAGTATGGTCTTCTGAACTGTAGCTTTAAGCATGAACCCTTTAAGAATCTTGCAAAACTCCAAAGTTAGGAAAATCTTGGATTTACTTGCAATCTGTCAGAAATTGTTGCTTTGCCTTTGTGCAGTGTTTTTGATACAATGCTGTTTCTTCTGACTTGTGCCCTGATTTTGTTTACTACCACAAGGCCTCTTTTGTTTCAAACAAAACCTTGCGGTAAATTTTATGCTAGGTCTTTTCATGAAAAAGGAAGGTCACGGCTTACAGCGTTTGCATTGTCACTGCAAAGGACTGTACAAACTGTTCTGTGGACTGGGATGTTTCTGCGATTAATTTAACGCTTGCTACCTGCTTTTTAAAGTAGTATTTTCCTTTTTACGATTTCAGTACCCTGTATTTAGACACTTCTGTAAGATACTGATCACATTTGTGAGGATGAATTGCAAAGTTACCATAATTTATGCATCCATAATTAACATGAAGTTAAGAAGAAGTATGAAGATGCATTGAAATATTTTGAAGTATGTTTTTACAGCTGGTACTAATGTCAATTTAGTAATAAAATGCATTCTCATCTACAATTGTCAGTAGCAAGTACCAACACAGATTTTTACTTATCATTTACCCACATAGTTCTTTGTATCTTAAATATTTTAATATGTGGGCGTAATACAGTTATTTGACATTTTAAAATTTGTCCTTTGTTTGCATGCAGCGAGGAGTTATGGGCGAAGACGAGGTAATTCACTTCTGTTTGTTACAGTACAATTAATTCTGATTGAGCTGTTACTGATCATTATGATTAATTAATCCAGATTGCTGATTATAAACGCTTGTCTGCATGTTGCCTTAGTTTGGGGAAGATGGAGGGTGTGAGGATCTGGATTGTTGTGATCATTGATCTCTTTGTAGACTTTGAATTACAAATCCTTTAATCAGTTAAAACGCTGTAGTTCTATTCATAATTTAGTTCACGCTAATGGCTACTGCTTGCAGTCGTTGCCCCCTTTAGAAGCATAGACTTTGCTAGTTGTTGTTCTAACTCATCTTCTGCTTCTGTATAAATGACACTGTACATAGTAGAAACTGAAAGCCTTTCATAAGCTAAGCGGGAAATCTTAGGGACAACTCTTGGAAACACTACAAGCCAATGTATGCTCACTGGCCTCGGAAAAGCTATACTGTGAAACTGTATGAGGATGTGACCTGCGGTTGTTATAAAGGCTATGTCAAGTGTGCAGCAAAAGCATCAAGATTTTTGGTAGCTTCCAGTGTTGACAACATACGCACACGTTTGTGTGTCTCTTGATCTCTGCGTTGGTTGATAACAGATTGCTTGGTGGCCCTAACGTAGAGAGGGGTGATGGATGATCAGATCATGGTCAGCATATGCAACAGTGCAGTCATGTTTTGATGGTTCCTGGCAGAGTCTGCTTAATGCTTTTCACTGTCATAAAACAGAAAGAAACAAGTGTTTAAAAGGGCATATCCTTTTAATTCACAGTCATCAGGAGAAATGTGAAAGCCCAGCAAATTACCTTTTTGCCATTTTCATCCAAGAGACATTTAAAAGTGAAGAGGAGGGAGAAGAAAGTATCAGAAGTCATAAAGAACATTTTACCCTAAATGTGTTAATCCGTTGTCCTCTGTCATCATAGCTTTCTGGGGAGCTGCAGTGCTTTTGACAAACCTTTACTCACATTAAAGTAAAACTGATCTCTCCGATATCACTTCAGGACGTGTTCTGATAATTTAATTTGTACTGGGAAGACACCTTTAGATTCCCGTTGTTCTTAGATTTTAACATTGTTCTGTGGGTAAAAAATAAATTATGCTGAGGATTATTCTTTGATTATTCCCCCCCATATATTTATATATATTGTAAATCAGAAATGGAATTATCTAAGAAGTAGTTTTAGAGAAACACAAAAACATAATTTTCATGGTCCAGAGAGATACATTCCTTAAGTGTAAATTGTGTGCCGTCTTTTAAAACAAAAAATCTGAAAAAATCCACACTTAAATGCTTTTGTGGCAAAATTCTAATACCAACAAGTTTATTAAAATTGGCGTATTTTTAAGTCACTTAGGTTTCTTTTTTCCTGCAGTAGAGAGACTTGCAGAGGTAAAGAGCAAATCTAAAATAACCCAGCTAAATTAGTGATTTGAGGTTTAAGATGTTAAGAATAACTCTCATGTATTGGTGAAAATTCTTTAAATTTCCACTTTTGCAGTTTCCTGCAAGTTCCTCCAGTTTGAGTCTCATTTCTTCCTTTAGCCACTTTTTTCTTTCACTGTCACGATAATGAAAGCTCTATCTTCTCATCATTCGCACCGGTAATTCAGAAGTCCGTTTTTATATCTCCCTTTCTTGGTTGTGTTAACCACATCTTACTGCTGCTTCATGTACATCTTTAAGAACCGATAATTCTTATTAGTCTTCATAACTGAAACTCATACCCACCTTACTCACTGCTGCGATCTTCATAGTGTGATCTTGCTCCTCCTATGTCTAAATACATGGTTACAAACAGGATCTGCCTGGCTGTTTCTTCCAACTGGGTTAAATGTTGTTTTTCACCGTTGCTTCCTCCCTTTCCTGCCCCATGGAGCACACGCTACTTGCTCCCACTTTCAAAGGCCCTCTGCTGATCTGTTACCTAGCGGTTGAATGCATCCTTCTGATAGCAAGCAAGGGTGCCATCGCTTGCTCCCCGCTGTTCATACTCCCAAACACACACACCACCATTCCTTATGGAAAGGAGGAGCCTGCTGCAGCTTCCTGCATTTCCTGTACGTTTCTCTGGCAGATCCCTGCTGGGGACGTAAACGTGAAATGCCACCATAAAGATGCTGTAGTTGTTGTCTTTGTTTCTTAGCACAGTCCTGCAGTCCTCCTTTTATTTTGTGATCCTCATGACATTTTATTATGTTTAGTTGTTTTCTATCATCTTGTGTTTTCATTCAGTATTTTTCATATACTGTATTTTTATTATGGATTTAGATACCCAGTCGGGGTCATTAGACACTACCATGACATAAGTCATTGGTCGCCACACTTGCTGTCTGTTCTCCAGCCTTGCCTTGAAGCTCTTGATTCTCGGGTGGTTTTCTGGTGCTGCAGACTCAGCTGTCAGGGATCTGCTGCTGTGTATGGATTTGCAGTGGGTGAATCTGGAACAAATACACTATTTCAGATGAAAAATTAACTTACTTGCCAAAAATGTGCTACATTGTTTTTTTTGTTTTGTTTGCTTGCTTGTTTTTGGAAAGGAGTTGAATTAGTATTTATTTTTTAAAATCAGTGACACAGAAACAGGAAAAATTGCACATCAGAAGAAATGTGATATTTATTTTGCTTCACAAAAGTTATTTTTTGGGCTTTTTGCAATTTAAAGATTAACTTCTGAATTTGAAACGGTCATTATCTTTATGTTGCTAATCTAAAGCAGTGAAGGTTTGAATAAGCTAAGATGCATATCCTGGCCTTCCAAGTCTTTTTGTTTTAGAGTTCTCTAAAATTCGTAACTATGATATATGGGGGGAATAATTGGGACAGAATTACCATGTTTTCACTGCCCTCCCCCCACCACCTGTACGTGTTTTGAATACTTTGTGTTTGCAAAGCCATCCTGTAGACTTCTCAGATTTTAAACTTGCTTTTCAGGGTAACTATAATCTCACTGCAGATTGTTATACCTCAGGAATCACCTCAAGGCTTCCCTCCAAAATTATCATAAATTTGAGAGTGAAAAGGATAAATCAGCACTGTAACTCATTTTTAAGCTGTTACGTTTTGCACATTTATTAAAATGCTCTTTTGCTTTCTTCAGAATTAAATTTATTCTTACATTATCAGCATCAGATACCTTTAAAAGAGAAGAGAAAACACACGTTTGAAACTTCTTACTGTGTAGATGTGTTTTCCACTTCCCTCTGTTCAATTAAAGTGTAAGATTTTAGACATACAGTAGCCATTCGGATGATGGAAGTTGTCAATTTAACATGAAGCTAAACCAGAGGCAGACTAATGAAACTTATTAAAGTAGTCCTTAATATGAGCTCATCATAAATAAGACCCTTTATTCAAAAACAGATTACTGCTTTCCTCCTGAATGCAGCTGAGTAACTAAAATATAACACAGAATGAAGTGGTGTGCTTACAGTGATGTCAGCTTGCAATCTTGAATTTTCTTTTTGAGGTTTAATACATTTTTCACTTCTTAATTTTTCTTTAAACTAATGTGTACTTTTCTAATATTTTGGTATTTTTGTTTTTGCTTTCCAGACTGCTATTCCCCCATTCCCTAAAATTACATAACCATGCGCTGCCACGAAATTATTTTAATTTATATTTACTATCTTTTCTTTTTAAGGGCGATCTTCCCTCTTCCCAATAGATGATGGTTTGCTGGACGATGGTCACAGTGATCAAGTTGGAGTCTTGAATTCGCCCACCTGCTATTCAGCTCATCAGAATGGAGAACGAATTGAGCGGTTTTCCCGGAAAGTCTTTGTTGGAGGTCTTCCACCAGATATTGATGAAGGTGAGCTGCTGGACTACGTAGCACACTAATTTTGGAGGGAGAGAAAGAGGGATTTTGAAAAACCTAAATGAAACCTGGTCTAGTGGGATGCGTCCCTGCCTATGGCAGGGGGATTGGACTGGGTGATCTTTAAGGTCCCTTCCAACCCAAACCGTTCTGTGATTCTGTGACTCTGTGAAATCATCTACCCAGCAAAATAATGTTTGGTGTAAAAGGCTATGCCTATATATATATTTTCTTTTATTAGACTTGATGGATATGTAAAGCTTAATATAATTTGGTGCTATCCATCTCATTTGGTTTTAAGATAGTTCAGTTGTCTCTGTTTCTGCACTTGTGGATTGTAGAGTTGCATGTGATGTCTGGAATTTGTGCTCCTGCTTAGCTTGCAGTGCTATGGGGGTGCATATTCCTTTCAAATACATCTTAGCCCTTCGTGGTGTCCTCAATCTGTGCCTACTTTATCCTCTATTCATAGAAAACTGCTATTAGTAATTGAATTTCGGATTCTATTTTACTATTACCTGAAGATCTCAGAAGTGGTTTAGAAAGGTTAATATTATTCCTGTTCATAAATAGAGGAATCAGGCAGAGGCATGTCAAGTGGCAGAGCACTCTGTGATGCCTTGAACATTGAATGTACCACAGAGGCTTGGGTTGTTTTGTGATGCAGTTGGAATTGCTGTGTACAGTAGTGCTGATTTCAAGTAATCATGCTGTTTAATATTAGGTTTCTCCTGTGCAGATAAATGTAAATTACATGCTAGCTCTGTAATGTAAACAGAAGTCCTTTTACAAGGTTCATTGTAATCTTAGAGTAACTTGCAAACCAAATAAGCTGACTGTGGTTAATTAACTTTCAGACATCGAAAGACTACATTTTGGTTTCATCTTCAGTGTGGTGCTCTCCTGTACCAAGGGATTTATTTCAATACACTTAAACTTTTTTTGATGCACTTTAGTTTCTAATTCAAATGTGCACTCCTGCCTTTAATACAAAAACACATGGAAGTATCTTTTCATTCCTTCCTGCCCATCTATATGCTGCTGGCAGGATGCAGCTGAAAGAAATGGAGCATATTTGTGTTTGATGAGTTATTGCTCTTGTAGAGTTTAGGGTGGTTTAATTTTTTCCTCATGGTCAGGGTTCTCCTTACATTCAGTAACAGAAAGGAGTGGCTGGGATAGAAAGACGTCACAGTCATGCAAAAGGGGAATAGTAGATCTTGCAACAGGACTGTTCGTGGTTATGTTAAAAGCCACCTCTAAATAGGCAGTTTTAAGTTCCTGGGCCTGATCTGTGCATGGGATCTTCTGGAAACTGCTAGCCTGCTAGTTGTGGTGGTACTTCTTATAGGAGTATATACCTACAAAGCTCTGAACTGTATATCACTAAACAGTAAATTGTTTTGATTGCATTCAAAGCAGATCCTGAATTTAAGGAAGTACCACACCAGTCTCCACCACTCCCTTTAAGTGCCCATATGCTTCTGAAATGCTCCTGCTATTAAGCAATAAACATAAGCTTAAAATTACCAGAAATGTATTGTATAAACGTTAATGCTTTGAAAGATGCATCTATTTAAGTTTTTGTTCATGAATAGTGCAAATTTTGTTCCTTTTTTTCCCTGAAATGTCAACTTTTGCTAGAAACAGAGATCTTTGCTTGATAGTACTTTTTCATTGAATTATGTCATTTATTTTAATCACAACTGTTATTCCTGTTTTTAGATGAAATTACTGCTAGCTTCAGACGATTTGGGCCTCTGGTAGTAGACTGGCCTCACAAAGCAGAAAGCAAGTCTTACTTTCCACCAAAAGGTAAGAGAGTTGGAAGGTTTTGACCTGTCACAGAGTGCAAATCTTACTCTGGGAAACTGTCTCATCTTTTTCCACAGGCTATAATTTACAATCCCTGTGAACAGTTGATTCTGCAATTTCCATGCAGGTTCAGACGTTGTTCCTTTATATACCATGTCTAAAACCTGAGAGTGTTGTTTTAGTATTGTGCCTGGTTCAGTGCTGGACTCCTGAAGGATCTTCCATATTCTGGTTTCCCAGATACCAGATCAGTGTTATATAGTTGTATGTGTCATTAAACCTAAGTTCTCTATTTGCCTTTCTGTACAATTTCCAAAATTGGAATTTGGTCATATTTGTAAGACTGAATCTTAGATTAAAATTTTTGTAGGAAGTTACAGGCTGGATTCAGAATGATGCATTCCCGTATCTGATCAAGATAATCAATGTTATGTTTATTTCCGTTTCAGGAAATGAACTACCTGCTGAAGCAATAGATAACCTTTTTTTGATAAATGATTGAAAACTGATTTTTAACTATTTCTGGTATTGCTGTTAGACAAGATTTTTTTCTTTTTAGTATCAAAGTGTTGGAAAAGTCCTTCTGTGCATTAAGTAATTAAATTATATAGTGTGTATCTCTGTACATGTACAATCATGAACCAGTACATATAAAATAAATGCAAAAATCTGATCCAGATATGAAAGCAATGCAGAGATTATTCATTTTGTAGAGAATGCAGCAATTCATTCCTTCCCTGCAAGTGACAGGAGTTGGCATAATGCCTTTATAAACTGATTTTTCATTTATTTATCTGACCATCTATTCTGGGAAAAATAGAGTATTACCATCTCAGATAGTACTCTAAATAGAGTCAGAAGAGGAATTGAAAGTATTTGAATAGTATTTAGAAACAATACATGGAAATTCTAAGACGAAAAAAGAGACTTCGGGATTATTTGATTGTCAGCCTGATCCACAAAGCTACCGTCAAATTAAAGTTGATTATCCTAAGGAGTAAATTTCTCTTCATAAATTACCAAGAGAAATTCTTGATGAACTCTGAGGAAAGGGCATCTCATGGAGTCTGGGAAAGATGTAATATATTCTTACCTGAAAGGAATGTATTCTGGCCTTCATTTCCAAAGAGAGAGTCCTGTCTTAGCATCTGAACATCTTAAGGATATATTTCCAGACTTACTCATTTAATAAAGCTGTTTTTAATTTAAAAAGCTAATCTAATGAAACTGTTTTATATAGTCGGAATATTTATAATGACCACAGTAACAAAAATATAATCTGTTTTATAAGCAGAGTTTCTTAAAAGCAAAGACTACAGATAGAAAAACTTCAGTCTGTTGGTCTGATTAATTCAGGAAACACTTATGAACTGTTGATTTCCCATTATTAACTGATCCTTATTTGATCCTTATGTGAATTGTAATAGCACTTACTGTTCTTCAATCTTAAAATTTTATTCTGTTTTTCACTTTACCACATTATTCAATAATGTTTTGTAATGGAGCCTAACACATTTAAAATACAGTGTGGGTTTCTCTTTGTAGATAACTCTGGAAATATAGCTTACTATTAACTGTCGAATATTACTGTGTTTGTATCTGGTTTTTTTTCAGTGCAACAGATAACAGCACAATTATTTTGTAGAATAATTTCTTTAAAAATTGTCTTTTTTAAGTATTACTTGTGTGTGCAGGCAAGAAGTGTTTATACATATATTTAATAAGATGTCTGAAACTGCTAAAGATATGCTAAATACTAAGAAAGCTTTGAGATTGTTGGTAGGAGTTGGAAGTGAAGATCATCAGGCCTAATTCCCCCTGCCAAAGCAGGATCACACAGGAACGTTCGTCCAGGCAGGTTTTGAATGTCTCCAGAGAAGGAGACTCCACAACCTCTCTGGGCAGCCTGTTCCAGTGCTCTGTCACCCTCACAGTGAAAAAGTTTTTCTTCATGTTCACATGGATCCTCCCATGTTCCATCTTGCTCCCACTGCCCCTTGTCCTGTCATTGGACATCAGTGAGAAGAGCCTGGCTCCTTCCTCCTGACACTTGTCCTTTACAAATTTATAAACATGAATGAGGTCACCCCTCAGTCTCCTCCAGGCTCAACAGACCCAGCTCTCTCAGCCTTTCCTTATATGGGAGATGCTCCAGTCCCCTCATCATCTTTGTGGCTCTACAGTGGACTCTTTCAAGCAATTCCCTGTCCTTCTTGACCTGGGGAGCCCAGAACTGGACACAAGATTCCAGATGTGATCTCACCAGGGCAGAGTAGAGGGGGAGGAGAACCTCTCTCGACCTACTAACCACACTCTTCTTAATACATCCTAGGATGCCATTGGCCTTCTTGGCCGTGAGGGCACATTCTGGTTCATGGTCAGCCTGCTGTCCACCAAGATCCCAGGTCCTTTTCCCATGAGCTGCTCCCTAGCACGTCAGCCCTCATCCTGTACTGATACATGGGGTTGTTCTTCCCCAGATGAAAGACTCTACACTTGCCCGTGTTGAATTTCATTAAGTTTCTTTCCACTCAACTCTCCAGCCTGTCCAGGTCATGCTGAGTGGCAGCACAGCCTTCTGGAGCATCAGCCACTCCTCCCAGCTTCATGTCGTCAGCAAACTTGCTGACAGTGCACTCAGTCCCGTCGTCCTGGTCATAGATGAATATATTGAATAGAGCTGAACCCAGTACTGACCCCCGAGGAACACCACTAGACATGGGTCTCCAACTAGACTCTGCGTCACTGACCACAACTTGAGTTCTGCCCTTCAGCCAGTTCTCAGTCCACCTCATTATCCTGTCCAGTTATGCAGTCCATACCTCTTGAGTTTGGCTGTGAGGATGTCATGGGAGATGGTGTCAAAAGCCTTGCTGAAGGCAAGGTAGACCCCATCCACTGCTCTCCCCTCATCTATCCATCCAGTTATGCTGTTGTAAAAGGCTATCAGATTGATCAAGCATGACTTCCCTTTGATGAGTCCATGCTGACTACTCCTGATAACCCTCTTTTCCTTGATCAATAATTAGCAATTTAGAAATACATACTGTGTTAGCCCAAGGCGTTACTTTATTTTTTTTTTATTTCTAATCTGCAGTTTATAATGTGTTACTCTGCATGGAATCAGTTCAGTGTATATATTTTTGTTTGTTCAATCCCATTAGAGATTTGACTTAGTATTACTTTCCAAAGACATGTTGGAACACTTCAGTTCTGAACTGATTTACGTAATAGTCTTCTGTGGTGAAGAGATACAGCCTGCTTTTTTTTTTCTCTCATTCAGTTTTCCAGGTTGTAGTTCCTTCCAGGCTCTGCTTACAGAAAGTCCTGAGGGAAGGCCAAGTTCATAATAAGTATTTCATTGCTTGAATAAATGAAAAAATTGTCCAGATCCATCAAGGCTGGCTGCCTCCTGAGAAATGCCAACTGCTTGTTCTTAACTAATTACATTTTGTATTGGTTCACCACAAAATTAGGCCCGAATAAAACAGGAATTTTAAAAACTTCACACTAATCTCACAAGGAAACTGTTCTGCAGCAGAAAAAATGATTCTATTGAGATCAGAGTACAAACTCTGAAAGTGATCTGCAAACTGTAATGGAGAATTCCTTCCTTTCTGCCTTGTCACTGTTTATCACAACTCCTGTTATTACGTAGTTGGCAAATACACTTTTTTATGAAACAGCACACATGTCCAAAGCAACGTGCTGAGGCGAGGACTCCTTCTGATAGTGAAGCTCTCAAAGAAATGGTGCAGTGAGGATATGCAAATGCAAAGAAGGCCTTTCAGAATATGCCCAGTTTGTGTGCTCTGCACTATTTATAGTCCCTATCAAACAGAAGATAATCTGATTTAAACAGGATGGTATCCCCAGCCTTTTCTAATTGTCTGGGTGTTTCTATTGCCTTCTATCACAGCAATTGTACAGTAGCTTCATTTATTCAAGGTTCTTAACTGGTAGTTTAGAACTGACTGAAAAAGTTAGGTTGAAAGTGTTCCATTTCTAGTTTAAGAAGCAAAGTCTCAGGTCCATCCAAGTTCTGTTTAACTTGTTACCAGCTTATTTGATCCCACTGGTAGGATTGAACTCTGGATTCCTGCAAGTAACTGTAGGTGTCTTCGTGTGTGATTAGTGCCTAAGCTTTCTTTAAGCAGTGGGAATCTGGCCAGGGCAGTCAGTGGAGTATAGGGGACTATTCAGGTCACCATGACAAAACACATTGAGCTTGATTCATTTACCCAAACCGAGGATATCTTAAATACTCACACAGGCCTTGCAAATGTGGTGTGGCACCTATTGAAGCCCCACACCATTTTGGAGCACCAGCTGAAAGTTAGGCAAAAAGGATAAATAGAGGGTAAATTATGCTAGACGCCTCCATGTCCCACTTGGTCAGCGGAGCAACGGTCCAGACACCACTGACTACTTTAACTGAGTCTCTGTATGACGGTAGGAGCTTAAACACAGCCCCTGCAGAAATACAGAAATAGGTGTTTGGGTCTGGAAGTGAATCCTGCTTCCCCCTACTCAAAAGTGTCCCAGCTAATAGCTACATTGCGATTGTATCAGCCTGCATTTTTTCACTTCAAGTGTATTTTGGAGTTAATTCTCCATCAAAGATGATGAAACTGAATGAGTGAAAGATTTATGTTTTAAAGATTAAATTTAATTATTATGGTGATGAGATCTCTTTAAAGAGGAATAGATCAAATGTTGTGTGTACTTCCCAAATGTGAATTATTCCCATCATCGAATGTAGATCCATTGTCTCTATTAACCTGTGGTTTACGCTGATTCTTTCTGAGTTAAGCTAAGGCGCAGTGTTCAGTGGACAAGAATTGCAGTGCACTGAGGCCATTTAGTCTCTCATGGGGAAAGTCTGTCAGGACCATAGAGGAACCAACCCCAAAACAAAACTCAGCTGTACTGGCTGGCAAGGACAGTGCCATGCTGGCTTGCACTAATTTTCTTCACTCCTTCTCCAAGCTACCAGCATTAGGAGTCAACTGGAGGTTGACAGAACTTAAAGCCATTCTCTGATTTGTACACAGAGTATGTGTAACAGAAGCAGCATCCTTCCTCCTTTTGATAAACTTCCATATTACTGTGAAAGAGAGAAATAACACCTTGCTCAGAAAATTGTTAGCTACCAGCGTGAATCTAGTCTAGAATGCTTTGCTTCTGATTCATTCTTTATATAATAACTAGAAAAAATTAAAACACTGATTCTGTGTCTAGATTGGGGGAGGCGGTTTCTTGTTGGTTTTGTTGTTTGTTTTTTTTTTTTAATTCTTAAGAAGGTTTAATTTGGTAATACAGCTAGAACTCTTCAGGCTTACCTGATGGGATTTCTCTTTCCAGTGCTGACCCAATACATTAAAAATAATTTTGAAAATACTTAATTTCTTGGTCTAGTTAGGTTAAGAGAGAGGGCAGCTCAGAGTAAGGATGATTATAACCAGTGCAGTATCTTTTATCTATCAGACAATGTAGTTCTAAAGCCAATTGTCATCTCCAGAAAGATTTATGTATTATTTGATGTAATTTTCTAAGGACAGGTATTATCAGTCACCCACACTAGTTCCCTTTGAAAATAGGAATATTAGTTCCAATGTTAGGCAGAGGAATTTAGTCAAGTTATTAACCACTAACAGGGGTTACCTAAACTTTATCTCTCATGGGAGGCATAAATTCTATTAGGGGTACACAGGAGCAAGTGATTTTTGTAAAGCTGTGTTTCATCTAACACTTTTCACCTCATGAAATATGTACGAAACATACAAGCTTTGTCTCTTGGCAAGTAATACCTGATCATGACCTGCCACTGTTGGTGTATGTATATCCCAAAGGTCTGAAGCAGCTTCCTTCAAAGAAAACTATTAGGGTAGCTTTGCTTTCCCACTGTAAACAGACTTGCCTTGCTATTTGCTGTGAAGCAAGTTAAATGACTGATGTGGTATGCCAAGAAAAAACAAGAATGTAGGAAAATAAGTTTTGTAGTACAGTGAAACACCTCCTTCTCCTCACCTTATCTGCTACTATGTTTCAGTGTGACAGGTACTTTCTATCACACGTGGTAGTTCAGTACTACTCCAAAAAGATGAGTTAGGCACTTGATCTTTTTTGTCGTATTGTGCCTGTGACTTTCCAGCACCATACAAGCTTTGCAGACATTAAACATCCACAATAACTCATGAGTTATGGATGCTGAGGTGAAAAATAATTCAGTAAAAGCATATATTGAAAAGGCAGAAAGGGGTAGAATGAGGTTTGTGTCATACAGTTGTTGGCATGTGTTAGCTGTAGTAATAAGAAAAGCCTTAATTTATGATGTCTAAATGAAATACCCAAGATAAAAGTGTAGTTTCCCTTTGCAAGCACTTTTTAGCTAATGAATATAGGGTGGTTACTATGTAACTGGGGCTCTTTGGAGAAGTCTATGGCTAATGTATAATTGATTTGTGCCAGCAAATGCGCCGTGGTCTGGGGTGAGTGATGGAGAGTGGTTTGTATGCAGACTAGCATGCAAGCGTAGCATTCTTTGGAAGGGATTGGCTGTGTCTGTCTATGGCTATAAAATGTGAGACCTGAGCAAATTATCTTCTCTAGCCAGGTTTCTTCTCCAGAAGAACTGGTTTTCCTTCAGGTCAGACTTGGGGAGTAAACTAAAATGCCTTGTAAATCACTGAAGGATGAGAGCTGTGGAGCAAAACTACAGCCAGACCAATGCATCAGTTCAGATTATACCCTAAATTCCTCTGTGTCTTCAGAAGGGGAGTGGTATAGCTAAGCTCATGACACAAGCCTATCTGATGCTTAAAATTAAGTGGGATGAACCCAGACATGAGTACATGTATAGTTTTGGTATTGTTTAGTTTATTTCAGGTGTGGTAGGGCATAGTATTCCTAATTGTTCCCTCATCAAGTTCTTACATTTGAAATTTTCTGTCTTTTTACAAGGTTCCACAGTTAATCATATTAATAGCTGCAGACTTACAAGTAGTAGAATTTAGAGACACTGACCGTATTTACACCTTAGGAGCTATATGGCAGTACCTTTGATTTGGTTTAGGATAAAAACTGATGGAAAATCAGCATCTGGCAAATTATTTTATGTGCTCCTGGCTGTGAGTCTCACTTTGTATATCTGATCCCTTAGTCGGTATCATGTGCATTTAGCCCTGCCCTTGGTTAATCAGGGTTTTGCACTCCCATCATTCTTGTACTGAGCTCTCCACTCAAACAGGACCTTGTGTACGTGGCTTCCGTATGGGTATAAGGACTGTGACACAGGTCTGGTCTCATCCATGCCAGCCTGTACATGCCCCGATTCAGTGAGTGAGTTTTGCATGGGTAATATGTGGATTTTAAATTTGAAGGCAAATACTGAAAGATATCCCCATTAAAACAATTTTTTAATCTAAGTAATTACTCATTTACCTTAAGTTAAACAGGTTGTCACTAAAAAGTAGTGTTCAGAAGTGAAAAATAAGCTTCACGAAGAAGTGCTTCAGCCAAAGCCCAAAGATTCTTTGTGGCATATTTGTTAAGAAACTAAATAAGATTTACATAAAAAACAGAACACGTAAAACCTTGTCATGTGTCTCTTGTAGGTAGCTGTGATAGGACCGTGGTATGAGGGCTAAGAAATGAGGTACAAATTATTCGAAAGACCAGTATAGGGTCTTACAGCTTTTTCTCTAAATCCTACTTTTGTTCCCATGTATCTAAAATCAGTCATGCATTTGTTTCTCTAATCTTATGTTCTTCCGAATACATTGATGATTTCATGCTCTTCAAGATGCACGCTACCATCTTTGCCTTGATGACTTAACACTATTTGCAATAAGAAATTGCCAGTGGTTAACTACCTTCTCTCAGAAAAAAAGCCTTAGTGGAGCAGCCACACTCCTGCTTGCCAAGCCCACTCTAGAGCAGCTGCTTCAGCATTTACTTTTCCATCCAAGTAATAAAGCATAACTTCATGTGAAAATTCCACACTTGATAGTAATCGCAGAAAGAAATGTGGATTTATGGTCCTTTTAAAGTTCATTTTAGAATACAACCCTGATAGCACTATCGGGCACCTGTAAAGCAACAAATTCTGTATATATCATTATACTATCACTGTTGAAAGTATTTTAACGTGTGAGGTTCTTCGCTTGTCTCCCTGTTTGTTTTTACTGTAGCATTAAATAAGCATTTTAATTTCTATTTTTATAATGTTGGGGAGGTTTGCTGGGTCACTTATGTAACAAAGTACTTTGATCTAATCTCTAGAATAGAGATTAGTCATTTGTGCCAAGTCGGATTTTCATTGTATAATGTCTGTTGCTGCCAATGAATTATGCTTAGCCTAGACTTCCAGTACATGATAGAGCAGACATGTTTGCTTTTATTTGATTAGTACTCTCTTTTGACAATTATTTTAGGGGTAGAAGTACTTGCTTGGAGTTCTGTTGATCATGGCAAGGTAGTGCATAGTTGAAAAAGATGACTAATAACAAAGAATTGGTTTGACTTTCCTTTGCTTTTGGAGTAAACACATTTGTATGGAAAAGTCACTGGCAAAGATGATGAAGAAAGAGAAGAGAAAAAATATCAGTTGTGTTTTTTTTTTCTCCAGGTTATGCATTTCTCCTGTTCCAAGAAGAGAGTTCTGTCCAGGCCCTGATTGATGCCTGCATTGAAGAAGATGGAAAGCTCTATCTATGTGTTTCTAGTCCTACTATCAAGGACAAGCCAGTAAGTAAACAGTAGCTGGCCTGCAGGCTACAGCTGCCATCTGTCTAAAGCTGCATTGGAAATGATGACGATGAAAATAATCAAAAGCAAACTACCATTGGCAGAGCTCAACATCTGGAACATTTGGATTATTTTAAAACTGTAGTGTTTTGAATTAATAGGATTAAAACAGAGCACCTATACTTGCTGAGCTAATGGGGTCATGACTGTTTGACAGTTTATAGAGGCTGATAAACGTGTATCAATGATGTAGTGAAACTTCAAGCACTATATTATTTTCTTTGCTAATTTATTAGGTTCAGATCCGTCCCTGGAATCTAAGTGATAGTGACTTTGTGATGGATGGTTCCCAGCCACTTGACCCTCGAAAAACAATTTTTGTTGGAGGAGTTCCTAGACCATTAAGAGCTGGTGAGTATGATCTGTGGCTGTTTTTAAAAGTAGGACATTTTTTGAAATAATTTGAACCATGCACACTTTTATATAATTATGTATGGATAGTTGCAGATATACAAATATAAAAATAGAAGAATACTGTGGTAGTTAAAACCACTGTACAATATTAATGTATTTTTACATTTCTCTGATAGCTGTTTTCATCTGGCTTTGGCCATAGATCGCTGTTCATCATTGAGATTTACTGGGAACTGTTACATGATCATGTTACCAAAACTGTAATGTAAACTGCGTCTCAAGAGTTTGTTTTTAAAATAATGCTGTGAAAACCTCTCTGTGATACTCCATGAGTATGTGGAGCTCTATTTGTACTTGCTTGTCATTGTGCATTGGCTGCTCTTCTAGTACTGTCAGGTCACAGTTACTCTTTCTAATATGGACAAAGCAAATACAGGGGCAATGAAGGAGTACTTGAAGGAGTAGTAATAGAGGAAAAAAGGAAGAAATTAAGAGACCTAGCACAGCCTGCATGGCACACCACTATCAGATTGTAAGGCTCTTTCTAGACTCTTGTGGGAGTGCATGAAGGAAAACTTACATGTTCCTATAGCTGTGGAATGGTTGATCCACAGCCTAGACTGTCTGCTTTGGGAAAGTGACTGCATTAGCCTCTTACAATATTCTGTGGTGGCCTTCTAGTAAGTAGGTTGAAGTGAGTGTTGGTAGTAGAAGCATAACATACAATGGTACAAATCCCATTTTCTATTAGAATGTCTCCTGGACTTCATTAGTCTTCCATAGTTTGTAATGAATTGTATTCTTGCAGAAAGATGAGCTTCCAGATGGAAGATGTAGGAGAACCAAACAGTGGTAGTGCAAATTTGGGGTATAAAGAATCTTAAATTTTTCTGTCTTGGACCTGCAATGCTCAAACTTTTCTGTTATTTTACTTCTAAAACTGTATTTTTGACTGTAGTGCAAGTTTTGTAAATGAGCATAAACACAGTATATTCCTACTGCAGAATAATTTTTCTTTAAATTCAGTCCACATACTCCAGATTACTGTGTGGAATGTCTGTGATAAATTTAATGGTGCATTTTTATGCTTAGCTTTCAAATGCCCTGTGTAAGTGAAAATGAAACTTTTATGGCATTGTGAAATAAGGATCATGCCTTCACAAAAGCCGTAAAACTTTAGGAGACTTTTCAAACAACTATTGAACAGCAATGTCTGCTGACACCTTTATACCCCAATACATTAGTATTTTCCACCTAAATTAACTGCAAAACTCAATTCAGTATAAAATATTACTAGAGGCTTGCTGAAGTACTTGATCTGTAAAATTTGATATTTTTGTTTCTATGAATTACAGTATCTATGGTAAGTGTAGCACTTACCGTTGTAATCAAGCTCTGTGTGGCTGGTGAAAAGATGCTAACTGCATCTTTAAATTCAAGTTGGACATAGACCATTAGGACAGCCAAAGAACATGTAGCAAGGAATTTGTGGCATGTGGTCTATTTTATACAGCTTGCATTCCATGCCTGCCCAAAAAGTCTTTTGCTGTAATCCTCTGAAGAAAACTGCCCTGGAATTTCAGTTCCAGGTTATCAAGTACTGCAAGGATTTACAATTGTTCCTTGGATCTGTGTACCCACAGTGTGAAAGATCTCTCTGCTGAGTATCTCATAGCTGATTTAATGTGATTTTATGTTTCTTATTACTGTTGCGTGAGCTGTTGCAAAATTAATTATTAACATTAACTTTTCTAATGTTTTTAAGTACAAGCATATTATATAAAATGTGTACTGTAAGAACAGTTTAAATGGATATCATTTTGTTTTCTAATAGTGGAATTGGCTATGATCATGGACCGTCTCTATGGTGGAGTTTGTTACGCAGGAATTGATACTGACCCTGAGCTGAAATACCCAAAAGGTGCTGGACGTGTTGCTTTTTCCAATCAGCAGAGTTACATTGCTGCCATCAGTGCTCGGTTTGTTCAACTTCAGCATGGCGATATTGATAAACGAGTAAGTTATACAGATTTTTTTTTTTAAAGAAAGTGATGATCTATAAAGGAATTTCTCAGGGTGTGGTACCATTGCATTTGATTGGCTTTCATGTCAGCTTCCACAGTCTTTTAGTATTCCTGTAGCTCCACTGGTTCCCAGAGTTAAATTAAACCGTGAATGCCCCTGAACGAACAACATGCATCCCAGAAAGCAGCAGTTTGTTCCTTGGAGATCTGTTAGACCATTCTGGAGTTTGTGGTGTATGGGCAAAGGGCTTGAAAATCTTTTTCTCTCTCTTGTTCTAATGAAACCAAATACTGTGATAATTCCTCCGTCATTCATAGGAAAGTCTAGTATTCATTAGGCTTCAGATTAGCTCTCTGTTTGTTATTAGCTCTCTATTTGCAGCTGCCCTTAATTTCAGCCATAATTGTCAGTGCTCAGCACTTCAGAAAATCAATCAAGTTCAACATCTAAAATACAAAATGTCTCGTCCTTTCTGCTTGAGGGTCTTCTGAGTATTTACCAACGTACATTTCTGGTTGCTACAGGTGATTATTGCTAGCTAAAGCAAAACTAACTTTTATTAGGAAGACTAGTCAACTTCATTACTCCTAGTTAGAAGTAAAAGAGTAGCAAAGAAATCTGGTAGCTAAATTATGTCAGTTTTAAGTGTCACTGGTTTTGATGTCAAGTGCTACAGAGGTAGTCGCTGGTATTAATAGATGTTCTTTAAAAAAAAAGGTCTTGGAGGAATAAGAGTTGAGTAAATAAAGTAGTTCAAGGTCCAGTCTCCTCTACAGATCAAAGACACGGGAAAAAGTAGTACAGTTAACCAAAGTCTGCTGCAGGGAGGTAGCATGCACTTCTCTTCTCTGAAATGGGCAGAGTAACACAACTTTACATCTGTCTCTCAGATACCAGTTACCTAGTGAGCTGACATCCTCAAACATGGTCCTGTCCAGAGGAGGAGTGAGTCCGAATGTGGGCAGTGAACTAGGCTTCACATTCAGATGTGACTGCTACATCTTGCTGGTGGGATTGCTGTCCTTGTGACTTGCAGCTGACTTTGACTAATAGCTCTGCCTTTTGGCTAATTACCTAACAGCAAAAATGTCCTTGACACTGAGGGAAAATAAAACTGTTAATCTCTTGCACTTGAGTATTTGGATGAAATGGGAGTAGAGATCTCCTTCTAAAGAAATGCTAAATAGGTCATTTAGCTTCAGAATTGGGTATAGCTTAGTGTGTTTCAGGAGCAACCTATAGTTCATTTAGCTGTAAAGTGACCTAGCTTTAAAATTAGAGGTGGACAATTGGGTCCCATCCAAATTAGTTCTCTCTTAAAGGTGGGAGGTGTGGACTTGAATGCTGTAAACTTATATCTTGGTCTTCCTCTTCCCATGGGAGCATACTTTGCAGTAGAACAGTACGTGGTAGGCTGGCAGTGCCGTTTCCTAAGAGAAAGGCAGGCATGAACCTGCCTTTGAAGGCTGCATTTCCACATTGGGTGGTCTGTTGGTTTGCGGTTTTTTTAATGATAGGTCAGCAGAGATTTTAAGGGCTCTTTGGATGCCAAGCAGGCATCTGAAATGGCAGTGCTTGCTGTTTGCAGAGAAAGGGATGTAACTTGTTAATGTGTGATCTAATACCAAAATACTTAAAGGGGGGTGAGCAGTAAAACAGCCAATCTCCAGTAAAACGGCCAATCTTTATTGGTTAGCAGACATGGTAGGGGGTAGGTAGGGGTTTTCCCTATCCAGCACATGTGCTGCAGGCCTCTTGGAGCTTGGACAGGGAAAACCCCTACCTACCCCCTACCATGTCTGTTAGCCAATAAAGAAATACAGTACATATTTCACTGAAATCTTAGAGGCAGGCTGTTCTCCTACCCTTTACTTTTAGCATAGCCTTTCTATTCCAGTTATATCCAGTTTCTGTATGTCTGCTGTCCTTTCACATTCTTTTCATAGCCAGTTTTGTCTGTGTAAAAGTCTTTTCTTCATGGCTAAATTTTGCAGTTCACCTGTTAATCCTTCTAAAGTTCAGAGTATTTGTAGCATTGTTTTTGCACGTACCTTTTCCTACCTTAATTGGAATTCTTGGTGTCTCAAACACTTAACATTGTCTGTGATCCTAACTTCTTCCTTACCTAAGTACTCTGCAGCTTCTCTCCAGTTCTTTAGATGTGTAGACATGTTTAGTTTCTCTAACAGATGTTTTTCTTCAGTAAAGTGCTCCTCATCCTGTTTTATCATATATGAAAGCTCAGCTCCAAACATTTCCTTGAAACTCGTTTGAACTTTCAGCTCCAAACAATTTCTTAAAATGTTGTTAACTTTCATATGCCAGCAGTCTGCATCCACTTTGTGTAATACTTCCATTCCTCAAAGTGTTTCTTTAATACACTTGAAATCATCTTCATACCGATCTTGGTGCGTTAATGCACCGAAGCTTGAAATATGTGCTGCTTCATGCTTTCAGTAATTTTGAACCACAAACACAGTAACTGCATAAGGTACCTGTTCATTGGAAAGTTTGAATGTAATTTGTGATAAGGCAGGTTGTTGTATTGAAATAAGACGTAGAGCTTGTACTGAATACAGATTACCTGAGGAAGCAGACTGTTTCAAACATAGATGCATTGGTCATGTCAAGTATGACCTCTACTTCTGAAACTAAGAACATGAAGACTTTTACTGCCGTAAAAGTTTTGGGTGGGTAGCTGCATGTAATTTTTTCCTCTGGAGGCACAAGGATAAAAAAGCATTTTAAAGTTCTTAATATTTCAAATGTATTTTGTCTGACTATGGTACATAAAGTCCATGTCTATATGTAGCATCCATCTCAGGTAATAGTATCTCAGAAAAAAACCCTCTTTACAGCAGTGAATTTTAGTATGAACTAGAATAACTCTCTTTACCAACAAAAGGCAGAAGATACTGTGTTTAGAAGTGAGGGAAATGTGGAAGACGACAATAGGTTCCTTAATGATGGAGTTAACTCATTTTGTGTTTTATTACAAAGTTGTTCTTCCTGTCTGATCACCGTCTGTAGCAGCTCAGTTAGGCAAAAACAAAATGCACATTTACCGCTGGACTCCTGCCACTTTTCCACTCTGGCAGTCAGATGGGTTTGGGAGAAAGAAGCCACATAGGACAGGTGTTGCTAGCAGTCTGTAGGCTTGCAAAATGGTCTTTCAAAAATATTTTCAGAAATACGTTGAGTACAAATTTCGGTGCAGCTCAAAGCCACACAAAGGGAAAGTAATAGACTACGAAAATCTGTAGCTCCAAATTTGACCAAATTTTAGAAAGGGGAGTGAATTTACAGGGAACTGGAATGGTGAAAGATCTGTATTCCAGCATGCATAAAGTACTTGTAATTTGCACACAAAAATAGTACATGCAGAGACTTATACTTGGTTGGGTTTTTTTAAAGTTTAATGTATAAATGGTTACATTCTTGTATGTTCAGTTATTTTTTACTAAAGAGTACAGAATTGGGTGCCATGTTGGATACATTCAGGAACTGATAAGTTGGGAGACCTTTGGGCTTGTTTGCTTGTTTTCTACACGTACTTCCATTATATCATTTGCCAAGAACACGCTTCCAGAATAAGTTAAGGGGAGGTTCTGATGTAGCTATTTATGACATATATATAGCTACTTATTACATATCACAGAATCACAGAACGTTAGG